TTGCTTAAAGAATCTGTCTCCTATTACCGAAATTAATACATTTCAGGATAGCCTGGCTCATGGTCGAATGTTTGGTATTTGAATATTTCAAAAATTCGAATTTCGCCTTTGATGTTTTCTGGAACCAAAAGGAAAAATGAGTAATAAATTCCGGCGAGGAACTTTTCACGTTGGTACCTAGGTACCCTGAAAATGTAAAGGTTATACATGCATTCGTTCAAGTCATTTGCTCTTGGCACGGCTCCAGGTCGTTTTTTTTCTATGTCAATTTACGGCTTCCATAAGGGGAAAAAAGTGGAATTTCGCCGCGACACCGGCACAGATTGTCCGAAAACCATGAAATTTGGACACAATAGGGCCATTACCACCCCGGACTCTGTGTTATACCCCCATTTTGATCCCATCAAAAAAATAGAGTTTTAGCAAAAAAACGATTTTCGAAATTTAATATTGGTTTTAATTAATTTTGATTTGCAAATGCAAAGAGATTTTATCGCCTCTTCCGTATGTGATAGGTATTAGTACTATACACATTATTCTTAAAAGACAATTTTTTAAAATGACCGCAACGATGTATCGACACTAGAAACCGAAATCCCCTATTTTGACATTTTTTGACTGCTGAGGCATCCTTCCGTTGGTCCAAATCTCTGAAATTTCTAGCGGTTGGCTGCGCCGCGATGATATTTATCACATATTAAAAGGAGAAAATGCTCAGATATCAAGAACAATAAAAATTCGATAAAATACGGCTATTTTTAAGTAAAAAAACTTTGATCGGTGGGGGTGAGTTTCGAATTTATTTTCAACGTTCTCGGAATTCCAGACTCTTCTATTTTTAATATGTGATAGCTTGAATCCCAAGGTACATCCCGTGCAAATGTGAAGACAATCGTCCCAACGGAACGTTGCCTGGGCAGAGCAAATCAACCCCGGTCGCGAAAATTTGCTCATTCTTCAACGCTTATTATAATAGATCAATCCGTGTCCCCGATCCACCGTCACATACCAAACCACTCCGAAATATACCCAAACTCCCCAAATCGACCGTAATTTCTTTTGACTTCGCGCATGCGCCACGCTGGAACCAAAGGTACGAAGACTACCAAATTCCGGCGAGGAACTTTTCACGCTGGTACCTAGGTGCCCTGAGAAATTCAAGGCGATACCTGCATTCGTTCAGGTCGTTTGGCCTTTTCCGCCATTTACGGCTTCAGTAAGTGCGAAAAATGTGGAATTTCGCCACGACACCGGCACCGATTGTCCGAAAACCATGAAATTTGGACACAATACGCCCATTGCCACCCCGGACTTTCTGCCTTACTCCCATTTTGATCCGATTAATAAAAAAAGAGTTTTAGCAAAAAAAAAAAGATTTTCGGTCAACTGATGGTCTCCATTTGGAATTGAATATGAAGAACAGTGAAAAATCCACTTGAACAGACGTGAAAATAAACCACAATAGGCTGTAATATGTTCAATGCGTCTCTTATTTCTGAAATTAATGCATTTCAGGATAGCTCAAGATCAAGATCGATTTTTTGGTGTTTGAAAATTTTCAAAATTTCGTATTTCGCCTTTGACCTTTTGCGTGCCGACAAAGTTGTTTACAGGACAATTTATGCCTTTAATTTTCAAAATTTACAAATTTCACCTAAATATTCGAACAGCTAAGGTCAATCTGATTCAAAAAATGTTAGTTCCGTTCAAAGTTATTTCATTTATTTTTTTGATATTTTCCTGCCCCTTTTTAGTTCTTTCCCGCCATTTTCGTTTCATGTTCTCATCCGTCCCGTTTTTAAACGGCTTGATCCATTTTTCTGAAATTTCTGGAACGGAAAGTCATTCCGATTACAGCAATCCAAGTCTCAGTTATTTCCCTTAGTTTTCAGATTATTTTGTTGCCCGGGTGCAATGTTTCTCACAATATTTAGACTTGTAACTTCGCGACTTTTTCACCGATTTTGATAATTATTTTTTGTTGTTCTTTTTCTTTTAAGATACTTGATATAATCCATGTCACGTGACGATGAATATGAAAGCTTTCATATCTGCATGGGACAGTAGTTGATCTAGTTATTATTATTTTTTTTTGTGTGTTTTTCCTGCAAATCTTATAACCGTGTGATCTTTCTGAAACTTCGACCTACCCCCCCCCCCCCCCAAGAATGGGTGGTGGCTTTGGAATAGGTATATTTTCAAAACGTTTTACACATCCGAAATCACCGAATTTTACGAATAAATCCATTTGACTTACTTTGCTGTAACTTTGTGACTAATTGTACTATTTTACTAAAAAAAAATCTTTAAGTACCTTGAATCATTTACTTCAAATCTGCAATTTCGGATTTTCGATTTTCGAATTTCGAAAATTCGTCGCTGTGATTTCGAACCGGAAGTTAAAATCAACTTGACAACTTCTTTAATAGTTGCACGATTTTCATGAAATTAAGTATGTAAGTAGATCTTACCGATACAACTTGAAAAATGTCATTAGAAATTTTCTCTATTATCTCCCCTTGATGAATTTAAGGATCAAAGTTTTCAAAATAATCGACGAAATATAACTCCGATTGCCTTAAAATTGTTTTTCTTTACTAGCGACGACACAACTAATTCGTACACAAAAAATGGAGTTTGTAGCCCAAACCGGAAGTGCCTCCATCTTGAAATGTGAAAAATCCCTAAGGCTTTTTTGATATTTTACTTTACATACAAGGCAATTATATTTTCCGAATCCTTGGAGGAATGTCTAAACAATGTTCGACGCAGAATTTTGATCTAGATCAACTGATGGACGCCATTTTGAATTGAAAATTAAAAACAGTGAAAAATCCACATTAATGGGCTTGAAAACATACACAATTGGTCGTGGCTTAGAGAATCTGTCCCCTATTACCGAAATTAATACATTTCAGGATAGCCTGGATCATGGTCGAATGTTTGGTATTTGAATATTTCAAAAATTCGAATTTCGCCTTTGATGTTTTCCGTGCCGACAAGGATGTTTTCGAGTTTAGCTGGTTTTGACTTCGCGCGTGCGCTACGCTGGAACCAAAGGTACCATGAGAAGCCTACCAAATTTCAGGATAGCCTGGATCATGGTCGAATGTTTGGTATTTGAATATTTCAAAAATTCGAATTTCGCCTTTGATGTTTTCGTGCCGACAATGTTGTTTTCGAGCTTAGCTGGTTTTGACTTCGCGCATGCGCTACGCTGGAACCAAAGGTACCATGAGTACCAAATTTCAGGATAGCCTGGATCATGGTCGAATGTTTGGTATTTGAATATTTTAAAAATTCGAATTTCGCCTATGATGTTTTCCGTGCCGACAAGGTCGTTTTCGAATTTAGCTGGTTTTGAGTTCGCGCATGCGCTACGCTGGAACCAAAGGTACCATGAATACCAAATTCCGGCGAGGAACTTTTCACGTTGGTTCCTAGGTACCCTGAAAATTTCAATTTACGGCTTCTATAAGGGGAAAAAAGTGGAATTTCGCCGCGACACCGGCACCGATTGTCCGAAAATCATGAAATTTGGACACAATACGCCCATTACCACCCCAGACTCTGTGCTTTACCCCCATTTTGATCACATTAAAAAAAAAGAGAGTTTTAGCAAAAAAACGATTTTCGGAATTTAATATTGGTTTTAATTAATTTTGAATTTTCACGTTGGTACCTAGGTGCACTGAAAACTTCAAGGCGATACCTGCATTCGTTCAGGTCGTTTGTTCTTGACACGGTTCCTGTCGTTCGTTTTATTCCGCCATTTACGGTTTCTGTAAGGGCGAAAAAAGTGAAATTTTGCCACGACACCGGCACCGATTGTCCGAAAACCATGAAATTTGGACACAATACGCCCATTACCACCCCGGACTCTATGACTTACTCCCATTTCGATCAGATTAAAAACAGGAGTTTCAGCAAAAAAAAATCAACCGATTTTCGGAATTTAAATTTGGTTTTAATTAATTTTGAAATTCCAAATGCAAAGGAATCTTATCGCCTCTTCCGTATGTGATTGCTATTAGTACTATACAAATTATCCGGTCCAGTCTTCACTACAATTTGTGATAGAATTACTTATTTAAAAAAACCCATATATATAAAAATAAAAATGGTTGGAGTGCCCAAGTTTAGATTTGTCGTTGATTTCATAAAGATGTTAGGATATACATGTAGAACGTTAAATACTGTGTGATTCAACATGGCGGCCGAGGGGTTTAATATGATATAAGTACCAAATACATGTACATGGTAGTACCAAATGGTTTATATGTATGAGAGTCAAGGTTTGGACTATAATGTCTTGGGGAAGTAGGAGGCGACTAGTATGTGCCTCTCTTTAGTGGACCGATGTGAGATTGCCCATTGTATTAACTGGACGGGTAGGCCTATTCACCTTCGGTTATGTGTCAATGTCAAATAAGCGGTTTCTTATCAACACGATCGGCTCTGGGCCGGTTTAATTCTACGTATCTCTCTTAGCTGAGAGAAAAAAGATTTTTTAGCCGAGAGAATATCTTCCGTCAAAGTGGTTGTTGATTCATAGATTCTAATAACCCCTTTTGCAGTTTATATGAAAGCTTTGATATCTGCTATGCAGATCTAGTTATTATTATTATCATTATTGCAGCATATTTATAGTGCGCCCTATCATATAACCTGTTCAGGGGCACTTTACAAAGTGACAATGTAGTCATAAATAAACAAGATTATGGACATGTTAACGATTGTATACAGAGTCAGTTAAAAGCCTGATTAAATAAATGTGTTTTAAGTTGTTTTTTAAAAGAATATAGAGATGTACAACATCTTAAACTAAATGGTAGATTATTCCATACAGGTGCTTGATAACTAAACGAGCGCTGGCCATTATTTTCATTTTTGAATACCTCGATTTTGCTTTAAATTAATTTATGGTTTAATGGGTGGGGCGGTTATATGTCATTTAAAATGAACACCGGCAAATTAATTTTGTTTTTGTGTTATTTCAGTGAGCCAAGAGAGACGTCTGTTGATGTAAGCAGTGTTGCCACTCCGAGACTCTCTATTGACGCAATTTGGGAAGCGACCAGTCTCAACTATGATATCAATCAACTTAACTCTCCTCTCCGACAGTCTCTAAAACCCAAGAATATCTAAAAACGTCGAGAATCTCTAAAAAAAAAAACCCTCGATAATCTATAAAACGTAGAGCATCTCTAAAGCCCATAAATATCTAAAAACCTCGTCAATCTCTAAAACCCATGAATATCTGAAAACCTCGATAATCTCTAAAACCCACGAATATCTAAAAACGTCGAGAATCTATAAAACCAATGAATATTTAAAAGCCTCGGCATTCTCTACATCCAAAGAATATCTAAAAACAACCCTCGACAATCTTTAAATAAAACTCAAGAATATCTCAAAACATCGAGAATCTGTAAAACCCATGAATATCTAAAAACCTCGACAATCTCTTAAAACCAAGATTTATAGAATCAAAACAAACACTCAAAGTTATGTCCCATTTTATGATAGACTTTTCTACACATGTTTAAATATAGTTAGTTCAGTGTTTTAATCAAATTTAGTTATAACCAACCCCATGAACTTTTTAACATTCCCTAAACAACTGGAATATGATTCAGTATTATATCTAGCAAATGATTCAGTGCATTGCTAGCCAATGATTCAGTGCATTTCTAGCATATGATTCAATTATAACTAGCATATGATTCAGTGCATTGCTAGCATATGGTTCAAACTCTACCTAGCATATGGTTCCCTATTTATCTGGCATGGGGTTGAAAATATATCTAGTATATGGTTCAGTATTTATCTAGCATATGGTTCAAAATATATCTAGTATATGGTTCAGTATTTATCTAGCATATGGTTCAAAATATATCTACTATATGGTTCAGTGCGGAAGGTCAGTATATATTTCAGTGGCAGTAGTAGCAGGACCAGACTAAGCTATAGTGTAGTGTGGAGTCTGTAACCAACGGGCGTAAACACAAACTCTTTCTGTCCAACGTTGAATAAAATATTCCGATATTTTAGCTCCGGTTTATAATTAAATATCCATTCGAAATAAATAACAGAAAAAGAATTGTTTACACATCGAGATGCTTTAGTTTTATTGCATGAAATATATACCATACTGTTCTATAAATATCTTGGCAAATATGGCAATCCATTAACTAAAGTGGTTTATTACAGAAATGGTGTAATGTGTACATGTATTGGTTGGAACATTCTTTCTGCCAGTTTTAAAATGAGATTGTAGTTATCTGGTGAATGTTAGTTTTTTTAATATAGTCCACTGGAAGTAAAATATTGAGTCCAACACACAGAAACGAATAGATTATGAATAGGGCGTGACACAGTGGCACAACATCAAAACAAATCTAGAATGACCTATAAATCAATTGTTTTCTTAACCATATTCGTTCCAAATATACGAAATTCGAAAGCCCGATAAACTGCACTACATAGATAACATCGTGGATGGGGGGGGGCGCTAAAATATAGTTGGCCGCGATAGACAAGGGACGATGTTCCTTTGGCAGCTTTATAGACAAAACACACATGTAAAAGAATTTATATGGTGCTTTGTTGCCAAGTGCGAGACCATCTACGATTATATCACCTTCCCATGGATTACTGTGATTATTGTGTGATTAACAATCAATGGAATCGGTCTAAAATTTACATCCATTGATCTTTGATGGCTCGTATAATGAATGCATTGGCTAAGATTACTGAAATATTTACTGAATATTATACCTGTAAATAGTTTTTCTGTAAATTTATATTGTTACCTTTTATGCTTACGTCTATGTAAATAACAGGATAGTTATCAACTGTAATAATACTAGTATTTTAAATCAGAGTTTCTGTCGTGTATTCCATCTGTATATAAATTATATATACCATAATATAATCATTTGATATTCGCGAATTTTACAATCTAAATGATAATGGGTGAGAAAAAGCAATAATGTTTATTACACTTCAACCAGAAAATATTAGAAATAAACCATTGTAAAATACATTATAATGAACCGTTAAGAAACATAACGTAAACAAACCAAAATATTGTTATCTTTTCTGGTGTCTATTTTGGTTGTGGGCTTTTCGTGTATGTACCAGCGTCTTCCACTGAACGATAAGATTGGTATATCGGAGTAAATAGGAAAAAATATATTACAAGTTTAAAGATGCATTATGTAAGATTTAGAAAAAGAACAGGTCGTTCTATAATAGTTCAAAAATAGAATATATTTAAAATTTTAATCATATAACTTTATTTATTCTGAAGCGGGGTGGGAGGGGTATGAATGTTTGAACTTTTTACAAGATTTAGCCTAAATAATTTCGATTGTTGAGTACCGTTGCAACGACAATAAACGAAGTCTCGATTGTCAATGTTAACCGATTATCTGGCGCGAAACCATTTGACAGAGGGTTGATTACGGGCTTGCCTTGTGAATAAATGTCTAAATTTATAATGACCTGCAATAGACAGATTAAACTATTACATAATGAATATTTAATTTCAGTGACTAATTGGTCCATGTGTAGTATTCAATATTTAATTTATTTTGCTGGATGTAAGTAAAATGCGCAGGTTATTCCTACTTTAATTATTCATGGTGTATGTGACACAAATTTGATAATATATGTTCTTAATATTATCGTTCATTCATAATTTTGTAAAGGGTTTAATTTGGGTTATTTTTTATTTTAATCCTCTGTGGTACAATATGTCATCAAATTATTATAGTGACAACAATAATTAAGGCGCTGGCGAAGTTTTCACGATCTCATTAAAAGCTTAATAATATCGCAGAACACTCTGCCCAAGGTGTAGATCCGTAAGCTTACCCTACCTCCATGTCCATTCACTGGCAACTTGATCACACAATCAAACTTTCAAACTTCTTATTTATAATTTACTAATTGTTTTATTTATATATTTACGTATTTATTATTCCTTTCTTTTAATTGTTTTTTCTGTAACTTGTAAAATATTTTGCACAATATAGTTGGCTTTCATTCAATTCCGTATGATGTCGAATACTGTTATATCTATATTGAAGAAGAAAAATCAAAGGATAAAATAATGTATATATAATAGTTAATGTATATAGAGATCTATACTAACAGTAAGTATTATAACTCCGATTGCGAACCCACAGCTACCAGCTGTATTGTATACTGTGCTATTTACAGGAACAGATGACATGAAATCCATTCCATTTCAAATGTCCTATATGAGATTACACGATTCATCGTATTTTGCCCTTCTGTATCATTGTTAGTGAATATATTTATGTGCTATAACACGATTCTCCATTAAAATTATATGTTAGTAAATTATTTATTTTTATTTATATGTTTTGATCTCATTCTAATAATAAATATATCTAAGGAAAACATTCCCTTGTTTGTTTATTATAAAATAGAAATACACAGAGTTAATAAATTGTAATTTCTGAAATTTACCTACATTACATGTATAATAAGTGATGAAAGAAGCTATCACGCGTATTTGGTTTCAAACTTGATATCCTGCTTATTGTTATCACACACATTTTTAATATCATTTTTGACATGGCTCGTATTGGTATCCCATGTATTGGTTTCACTTTAGTCATTTCAATTATTGATATCTTATAACCGTATTTTTCAGTATAGGCCTTTAATATTTAAAAAAAATCGTCATTGTCCTTATACTTCTCCTAATAAATCTCTGTTTATCATTATATATCTGATCTGTTTATCATTATCAGTCAGTCTTACGTAAAACGTTAAACTCCATTTTTATTTTATTTCTTTACTGGTTATTTGTTCTGTTTTTGGGCTTGATTTGAGCTACTTAAGCTAAAACCACTATTGCCAAAAGAAGCGCACCGTTTCTATAGCTAAAGGCAGGGTCAAGTCAGGTCAATTAAACATCTTCTTAAAGATGTTGTTAGGCTCGAATTTGATTTAAATATAAACGTCACAAAAAAAAAAAAAGAAAAAAAAAAGAAACAGTACGCGGACTAATTGTAATTAATCTGTAGAAGCCATCAGTATAGTAATATTATAAAATGTAGTTTTTCAAGCACACTGGCATTATGTTGTTCATTTCACTATTTTAGATCGACTGAAAATTTAGAATTGTAAACAATAATCACTACACTAAACTGTCTACGATATGCCATGTATGGTTGTATTTACCACTCAGATTTGTTTGTAAAAAGAAATATGTAGCCTAGTTGATTAATTTTGCTGTGGTAAAAATGACAAAAAACGATTAAATTATTAGATAAACTGGTGAAGTCAACTGAAATTGAAACACTTTACTGCAGGTGTTGGAGATTGATATTACATGAAAAACGTTATATCATGGCAGAGACAATTGATGGCACAAGAATAGAAAATATTATGTATGCCTGAAGGTAGCATACGTGACAACAGTCCAGTTACAGTAAAACAATTATAGAATGACTCATGGGGTATGGATAACAAAGTATATAAATCGTTACTGTCTAGACTATAGACAATGTATTTATAATTAACATACATGTAGTTCATTTAACTACATAAATTCATTTTCAGCGGAGGATTCATTGTGAGCGTTTACCTTTTCTGTTGGTTTTTTTATAATATTAATTATATAACTGAATTAACTACATAAATTCGTGTTCATAGTCCGATCCTTAATGTAAATCGTGGAACTAGTTTTATTTTGTAGGTTTTGACGTTTGATGACAAAAAAAAAAACAATAGTATAGGACGCCATTATTTGAAAGGCAGTCATTTTGCGATAATATTCCAACTTACATTTTGTTTTCAACTTATTTATAATCTTATCGACATATCAACTGTGATTTGCCACTATATTAGTATTGACAGGGGTCATAACTATATTTCAATTTTTTCCATCACTTCGTGAAGATATTTCCAAGATGGCGACCATTTTCGGCGGGAAAGTCGGACGATATGCTGATTTTCATTAAGTAGTAGTGTTTGGTGTCAATATATATGTTTTCGGGGTTGCAGATTCCATACCTGACATTTACATCCTTGTAAGCTGACCACATGTTCACATACTTAGCATATTTCCAATATGGCGGCCATTCTTGTGCCGATGTGCAGATTTTTATTAAATAGTAGTGTTTGGTGTCAATATAGGGATATTAAAATGCAAATACCTATGCAGGTTGTGATATGATAAATAGTCATGGACACTTGACATGCTTTGAAAGTATGTTCACAGATGAAGAACTTATCGTCCCAACAGAACCACTGAGCTGCATGTGCGACACGCAATAGTGCCATACACGTGGGAGGGGTTCATTGTCAAATTTGACACTTCAAGGAAGGGTTGATGAAAACTGCCGCTTGCTGGTTTATCCAATCCATGGCTGCTTTCCTATCGGTTCTTGCATAAGATTTACTGTTTAGCGTATCTTTGCTTTAGTGTGTGACGTTTAATTTGATCGGGAGACGTGTTCGTCAACGTCAACCGACAACACGGCAAGAATTGGCCGTGGCACTGCAAGATGAGTGGGTCAGATTGGCCCAAATTTTGCTTTCCTATCGGTTCTTGCATAAGATTTACTGTTTAGCGTATCTTTGTTTTAGTGCGCTACGTTTAATTTGATCGGGAGACGTGTTCGTCGACATCAACGTCAACCGACAACACTGCAAGAATTGGCCGTGGCACTACAAGAGGAGTGGGTCAGATTGCCCCAAATTTTGATTGGACGGTTGATCAGGAGCATGCCACGACGAAATGCTGAATGTCTGAGGATTGGTGAAGCAATTACTCATTATTAAGACAAAAATCAAAAACGTCCATTTTCACTTTTGACGGTGTATCTCTTTGTGAGTGAAATGGGGCCGTCAGATAAGCCGTCCATATGAACTGTTTATGTTCATGTGTAGGCAATTGGCCTGTTATTAACACACACTGGTTACATCTTATAGAAACCGCAGTGCATTTGCACAGTTTTGTATTGTTTCTGAATATCCCCTACTTTTTTTGAAAAATATATATGTTTACGGCGGCGCAGAAAACCATTTCTGACATTTACAACCTTGTAAAATGATCACATGTTCACATATTTAGAATATTTCGAATATTGCTGCCACTTGTGGCGGGAAAATCGGATGATGTGCTGATTTCCATTAAGTGGTTGTCTTTGATGTCAATATACATGTTTTCGGGGACGCAGATTCGATTTCTGTTATATACAACTGCGTACAATGATCGTATGTTCATCAATTTAGCATATTTCCAAGATGGAGGAACGGTTTCTAAACACATTATTATCATTTATTTACTTATCTTTGTTATTTAGAGGCTATTAGCTTGTAGCACAATCCCAAAAGCCGGTACCTTGTCGTACCCATTTTGTATATTATCCAACGATGAAAATTCCTCATCCGACATGACAACTGAGCTGATATCGATTTTCCTGGGAAAGAAAAGTCTATTCACTCGGTCTCCTGGCATGAAAGTAAAGGGAGCGTAACGACAACGTTGGACTTGCACCAATCAACGTGACAAGAAATTTACACGCACCCATCATGCTCCTGCCATGACCACACCAATCGCTTACTACACCCAACGCGTTCCAGTCAAGATCTTACTATTTTTAGAAATGTCAAAGGACCTTTTAACAGAAGGAATTGCAAAGAAAGGGGCACATCAACCTCTTAGCACAAAAGGAAACCAACAGCAGCTAAGTCGTCCGGGCAGTCAACAAGGGTTGTCACATATTTTTTTCTTTGGTCCGTAAGGAAAACATTTACGACTCTAAAATCTGAGTACGAGTAACAACCAATTAACTATTTATCGGAAATCAATAGAATTTGTTTGGCTTCTAGTTCTGCCCTATATGAACGTTTACTATACAAACATTTAGTACCAAGGGCTATAACTCTGGAAGTAGTTATCGGAAAGCATTGACAATCAATAGGCCTCCTCCGCTCCTCAAGTTAAACCCCGTGTATAACTTTCAAATCAATCGGATATTAACTTTAGAGCATCCACAAATTTTTTTAAGGTGATCAAGGGCCATAACTCTAGTAGTAATTATCGAAAATCGTTGAAAATCTATAGGATTCCTCATCTCATGACCCTAAACACTGTTTATAAATCTAAAGTCAATCAGATATTAATATTAGTCTCTAGAGCGTTCACAAGTGATCAAGGGCAATAACACTTGCAGCAATTATCGGATATCGCTGGAAATCAATAGGCTTCCTCATCTCATAACCTTAAACATTGTGTATAAATCTGAAGTCAATCGGATACCAACTCTTTTTCAAAGTGATGAAGGGCCATAACTTTGGAAGTAATTACCGGAAATCGTTAGAACTCAATAGAATTCCTCATCTCGTGCCCTTAAACATTATGCATCCGTGACATGATCCTTGCTAATGGTGCCGTTGTCTTAGAATGTGAGAAACGCAGACATAGTAAATGCAAGCCCAGAGTAAAGATCAAGCGAGATGAGGTAATGCAGTCCTTAAATGAACACAATCATGCTGGTCATCCAGTACATCAAAGAGCTCTTGAGGTGAAAAAATACCATAAAGAGGCGAGCCACAACAAATTGTAACTGCCGCAGTCGTTTATCTACCAGAAGGAACAGCTGCACAGCTTCCACCTATTAGATACCGCAAAATTCAGACAGAGGGGCTCCAGCAGTGGTACCAAACAGATAATGTATTCAATCTGGGCATCAGAATGTTACCAACCCTTGCTTTTGTATCAACTGATGATGTTGAACATGCCTTTGAAATACTCTCTGCAGAATTTGACGACGGCGCGTAATTCCTTCCTGGTGGTACACAGTAGCGTCGGTGAGCCTTCATCAAGACATGACTAGCGAAACATATTGTCACCTCTTCCCCATTTTGAATTTGAGACAATTCAGCACCGATTGTTTCATAAGAAGCATCGTTGTCTTGGATGAACATTCAATCAGGTGTTTGGGAAACGAAGAGCAGGTGCACCAGTTACTGCAACCTTCAAATTATCAAAGTGTTCCTGATGCGTGCCTGTCAATTCGTATGAACCCTTACTATGATACAGCTCGTAGAGGGGAAGAGCAAGAGCTGCGAATTTCGGGACATGGTCACGAAACCAAGAAAGAATATCCGTTGATCCCTATTCGATGGAACAAGCCACTTGGTAACGGCTCCGTGCTTCTTTTGGGAGCAGGACAATTGCCGGCCGGATAACTGCCGGCGGACAATTGTTTTTCTGTATATATGTCCTTTTTGTTAAAATAAACCCACCAATACTTAATAATTAAATACTCTTTATTATTATCATACAGGTTCAGTTTACTTAACACATTGTCTATAATATCACTCACTAAGTGACTGACTAACTATCTTTAATAGCACTCACTGACACAAAGTTATCACAGAT